AGAAGCCCATTTCAGGCACTGGGTTTAACAAGGAGTAAAATACTGAGAGCTAAACACAAGTGGAGTTGATCAGGGATTTGAACAGATTTGAAAGGATTCGGATTAGATAAGTGAAATTGGATACTGGATTAAGATTTGATAAAAGCTGCAGCTCTATTTACACATGTGAGACATAGCAAGATGTTTGATCCTCACCATCCACGGGGCTGATGTAATCTGGTAGATGAGCTGCAGCTGCCGCCGCCGCTGCTGCTGCTGCGGCCGCCGCTGCGCCGCTCTGCATCAGCAGGTCGCCGTAGGGGCTCCGCTGGCTGGCACTGGCCATCAGGTGGTAGTACTCCGTGGGGTTGGCCCCTGGTGGTGGAGGAGGGAGACTGAACAGGGCGCGCTCCTTCAGGTGCTCGTGGGTCACTGCAGCAGAAAAGGGAGGAACAAATAGGAGATGTAAAATTCAGACAGAAATAGCCTCGTTGTCCTTTAATATAAAGCTGCAGAACTGACCAATGAGCGAGTAAGTTCTGTCAAAGATTACAACTCCTGCTGGTGCTTCAGTACCAGTATGAAGTCATGCCTAACACTTTTTCTCAAGACAGAGGGGCTGCAAAAAAACATTTTTATTTTGTTTTCCTTTAATGAAGTAATATATTGTGTGACATATTTTGACATACCTCTTGACAGAATGACAAAAACAAAGAGCAGAAAGGTTGCAAGAAGGACTCAGTCCTTGGAGACGAGTGCCCTGCTTTACAGATTTGAAGATTTGTGCTTTGTGTGCATGCCCTGGGGCATGAGGCTTTCGATAAAAGATGTCTGATGTCTTTGAGGCTTGCTGGGTTATGCGAAAATATCTCGAGGGAGTAAAGGAAGCAAAGGGAGGGATGGAGCAGGGTAGAGAGGGGGGGGCACAGAAGGAAGGAATACTACATTCCTGCACTTCTCTGGTGTTGTGTGTGCATTTGGTTTGACATGCTGAAGTCATACACAGAGTGCAGGTGCACACACACACTCATAATGCTGAGGAAGCTTTAATCGCTGCATGTGCAAAGGTGATATTGATGTAAAATGTGTTAACACCTGCACCCAGTAAAGCCGCATTTAAAAGTGTCAGGAACTATAAGAGTGAGAGATGGATTGGTTTGCTTCTTTCCTACATCTAACTGTGCCTGTGTCCCCCTTTCCACCATTTCCTGCTCTCTCCTGCTCCCTCCCCCAGTGGGTAGGGGTGTGTGGAGGGGACAGGGGTGTGGGCCGATGGTGGATTAATATGCATGCTGGTGGAAACAGGGGTAGGAGTGGGGGTTGGGATCACTGGGTGGGGGCCAAGTGGGATACTGGGGGAGCCAGACCAAGGCCTCCCCCATCCTCTGCGCACACAGCCACATACACATAAGCACACACATAAAACAAAAAATCTGGATCCATCAGAACCTATTAGGCCATGGCTGTAGTAACAGTCCACAGGCAGTGTGTTTGTGCTCCAGCAACAGCGACCCAGGCATATTCTTTTTGGTTTCTCCATGGCTGCCAGATCACGTTACCCCCTCTGCAGTGTGTGTGTGTGTGTGTGACCTCACT